GCTGTGTGGACAGCTGTGGATATGTTGATATTAGAGTAGATTCCAGCTTGGCCTTAGACATGTCCAAATGAGACTCAACATATTTCTTTACAATGCTTTCAGTTACCTCCACGAGGCCACCTCAGTTTTCATTTCTCAATGTTTCTTCATCTTTTTACAAGAGGGTTTTAACAAGAGAGCAGGTGAGCATAGGGTGATAGTAGGGTCGTATTTGGAAATGCTGACTGATTCATCCACCTCCCCGCCTGGCACCATGTCTCCTCGCCCGACGCTCTTTTCCATTCTACCTGCTCCTGTCCTCTCAGCACCATCGCTTCTGATTTGGTCTGTTCAATTAGGGTTCTGCTCTGGCCTCTGCCAAAAATCCCCATTAAGGTTTTAATTGACAAGAAATTCAGTATTAATATGCAAATACAATACCCAAGTGGGAGTCAGTAGGAGCCTTTAGAAGACTAAATCATCTAAAACAATGACAATACTGAAAGCAACAGTGCTGTAATACAGAGAGCTTGGAAAATCGGATGGGCTGCACAGGAGCAAAAACAGCCCATTAACCTACTACATCATAATTTTTAAAAGTCCCGTTAACCTAGTACATCATCTAAAAGTTATAAACCATTCAATTTCCCATTCTCTTTGCATATCTTACACAGTGGTAAAAATATTGCACCTATAATTTTGAATTCATTTTTTTCCTACATTTTTTAAATGGCTCCATTATATCCCATCTGGGGAAAATTTAATCCTGTTTTTAATGTTTGGTAAGAAAAATAGGAATGCATAGCTGTGCAATTTTTTATTTGTCAATTTTACAAAGAAAAAATAAACACTTCANTTTTTTTTTAGTAGAGAACTGACAGGATTAACATCACTGTCTGGAATGCTCAATGTATCAGCCACATGTAGAATGGATTGAGACAGGACAATCCAATGGTGTTGTCTGGGTGCCAGAATTAAGTTGGCAATGAGGAGAAAAGCAAGAGAGTGACACAAAAGGCATTTCAAAGAACTAATTGAAAGGGTTTGATAATCCACTAGAATTCTTCCTTCAAGAGAGAAAAGAGAGAAAGATAACTGGGCCCTGGGAAAATTTTTAAACCACAGCTGAAACAAAGAGGTAAAGAGAGTGGAACATCTCGTGTTAGTTTGGCTTCCTTTNCTAAATTCTCACTAAACAATCCAGAATAACTCAAGGAAATAGGAAATATTTTTAGAAAAAACTGGCTATAGTATGTACCAACAGGAAACAGATGATATCCTATAATGTACTGGAATTATTTGGACCAAGAGTGGGTTACTTTATGATTTATTTAACATATTTATATTCATCCTTATTTGAGAAAGAATTTAAGGCACTTTTCAAGGAAGTATAAGTTACGATCAAACAGCATAAATAAAAAGTGGAGTGAAAAACATAAAGTAAAACAAGGTGAAGACAATATGGGAAAAAGAATGAAGGTACACATGTTCATGGCAATGGCTGTGTTGTGGCTGTGACTGAGCTATGAGTTTTCTAGCAGCCAGTGCAGAAAAGGGGGTGGGGGGAGAACTGTTAGTTATACAGTTTAAATATTAAATATGTTTGACATTATAAAATTACACCATAGTTCTCATAAAAGTTTGCAGCCTAACATAATGAACATGTCCCTCTGTAACATCCTTCCATGAACAAAACTGTTTTCATTGGTCTGATTCTTATAATGACTCACCATAGAGGCTTCTTCAATTGATCTATTGTGCAATTCAGTGAAAGTAATTCTTCAGTGGACCAACCTTATGCAGAATGGGTATCCAGGTCATTGTTCAACTAACTTTATTCAAATATAGATTTTTAATTTTTTAATTTTTTTGTAGCTGGCCAGCAAGGGGATTTGAACCCTTGACCTTGGTGTTATTAGCACCACATTCTAACCAACTAAGCTATCTAGCCAGCCCCAAATACACATTTTTACTAACATAGAAATTATCTTAGGGGCCGGCCCGGTGGCGCACTGCTACAGTGCGC